CTGGAAGCAGTGAAGTTGGGAAGAGTGTCCCAAGGAAGAGGATACCGTACACGGAGGGGAGCAGAGGAGAAAACACAGGAGCATTCCGGACTCCACTGCAGAATCCTGGGAGGAAATACCAAGGCAGGCAGAGCCCCGACTTGGTGTCTGGCACAGGCAGGTGCTCATCAGTAGTTGCTTTTGTTGGCCACGTGATGTCCTTAGGGCGAAGAGGAGGTTTGAGGACCTCCCTGTAAACACTGTGTAGGGAGGACACGCGGTAGCTCTCTGCTGGGGGCTCTTTTCAGGAGCCACAGTCCAAATTGAACATTGATCGTGGTCTTTGGGCTGAGACGGTGTAGGGGTAGCACTCGGGCCTCGCTTCTGACCGCGGGAGACTGAAAGGACGGCCTTGCTAACAGGCTAACAGCAAGTATATTTCTAACTGGCAGCCACGTAGAGTGGTATGAACTCTGTCCCTGAGGTTGGTACCATGACTATCTCCCCTACAGAGATGTTTACCTAACAATTAAAGGAAGCTGAGCAAAAAAAGAAGGTGTAAATCCTCACTCACATTCCCCAGAGCTGGTCAATTCACAATTCCACAGGGAAAAGAGCCTCCGGGAGAGGGCAGGAAGGGTAGACTCTCTGGTGGACTGTCATTAAAATCCACTGCCTTCAAAGGTTTGTTTTTAAGGTTGAAGAGTTCCTGAGAGGATGGCAGGTGTGTGGACTTCCCCACCTCCTCAAGGAGGGTCAAGAAATTGGTTGCAGCTTCGCTGGATGGTTCTGGCTCCTGATCTCTCCCTCTCTCTCTCTTTTTTTTTTTTTTTTTTTGAGACAGAGTCTCACTCTGTTGCCCAGGCTAGATAGAGTGAGTGCCGTGGCGTCAGCCTAGCTCACAGCAACCTCAAACTCCTGGGCTCAGCGATCCTGGTGCCTCAGCCTCCCGAGTAGCTGGGACTACAGGCATGCGCCACCATGCCCGGCTAATTTTTTGTATATATATTTTTAGTTGGTCAATTAATTCCTTTCTATTTTTAGTAGAGACGGGGTCTCGCTCTTGCTCAGGCTGGTTTCGAACTCCTGACCTCGAGCAATCTGCCCGCCTCGGCCTCCCAGAGTGCTAGGATTACAGGTGTGAGCCACCGCGCCCGGCCAGCTCCTGGTCTCTCTTGAGGAGGCATTAACACGTCAGCTGGGGCTGGAGCAGCCACTTCCAGAGCGGCCCGCCCACACGCTCGACAAGACTCTGACAGGCCTCAGTTGCTGGCCACTTGGACCTCTCCATAGGCTGCTTGAGAGTCTGCCTGACTCGAAAGGAGGAGACCCAAGAGAGAACAATGCAGAAGTCACAATGTCTTTTATGACCTAGCTTTGGAAGCCGCTCTGTCATTTTCGCAATATTCCGTCAGTTACCCCAGGTCCGTGTTACTCAGCGTGGAAGGAAACCCCACATGGGCATCAATCCCAGGACACAAGAATTACCGGCCCACTTGGACACTGGCTGCCATGCCTGGGCAGCTGCAGATTAGGCGCAATGGGAACATGCAGGCTATTTGAGGACAGTTGAGTATGAGCTTGGAGTTGACATTGACATCTGGAGATCTATTCTACCGCCCTGGTAGAACGGGAGTGTGTGAGGCCCCTGGCAGTAAAGCAGGTCCTGGCCGAGATCCAGCTCCCACTGGCGCGCCGGGTCATTGCCAAGTTCACAAATGCGCACTTGGGGTGGACATGTGTGGAAGTTGCTGCAGTCGCCACGCTGAGCCTTTCATTGGTGGGAGAAGAACTGCTGGGACATGGAAGGCCAAGCGGAGATCTCTGTGACTCTTCTCACCCTGGTCAAGACAGTAAATAAAAACCAATATCACATTCCAGAAGGGATGGCAGACTTAAGGAAGTCAAGGACTCAAGGTTGCTGGTCCCTGCCATATTTCCATTTCATCTACCAACCTGCCCCTACGGAAACCAGATGCATCCTGAGGATGGCTGAGACTTCCTTTAACTCCACCAAACAGTGTCCCCAGTTGAGAAGGTGGTATGCCACACATGCCCTGTCTGCTAGAGCCAATGCATGAGGCCTCAGGTGTATGGTATGCAAACATTGACAAATGTGTTCCTTCTGTCCTTATGAGATGCTGTCTGCATTCACGTGGAACAGACAGTATACATTTTGTTTTGCCCCAGGGTTATGCTCTTCTGCCCTTTGCCATGGTCCCAAGAGATCTGGACCACCCGACACCTGGGCGTCCCACAAAACATCCCATCAAGTCACCACTTGGTTAATGCCGTGCTAAGTGAGTTAGAGGCCAGCACGTTGGGGCCTTGGGAGGAAACCTGCCCTGCAAAGGTGGGGCATGATCCGTACATAGGTTGCCGCATGAGGACAGTTTGGAGTGCCTCGCAGGCAAGGGCTCGCCGGGTCCTGTCACCCAAGGTAAAAGATGAGTCATTGCATCTTGCACCTCCTGCCATGGAGAAGAAAGCTCAATGCCTGGTAGAACTCTTCAGGTTTTGGAAACAGCATGCTCCACCCCTGGCCTGTGCACCGGGTGACACGAAAGGCTGCCACCTTGGCACGCATCCCCAGTAGGAAAGCTTTCTGCTGCAAGTCCAGACTGCAGTGAAAGCAGCCCTGCTGCCGGGCCACAGGACTCAGCAGAATTTAGGGGCTTGGAGGGATGAAGGGTAGGTAGGAGGCGGTGCTGGGTGGGATTCGTGGCGGGCTCCAGTGAGAGAGTCACAGCACAGGCCCCTTGGGGCCTGCAGCAAGGCCATGCAGTCTGCAGTGGCGAACTGCATGTGTTTTGTAAAACCGCTTCTGCAGTGGCAGAGGACCGTGGGACACCAGGTGACTGCGCGGCATCTGCAGCTGCCCGTCACAAGGTAAAGTGTGGCAAACCCATCCATTGTTAGACAGCAGCGTCCCATTGAGTTATGAGCTCTGATTGCCACCTGAACACCTTGTCCTCTTTGAGACCAGCACTCATGTGGCAAGGAAAGGTGCCACCTTAGTGGGAGTAATTGGCCCAAGTCATCAGCAAGAGATAGGGCTGCTTTAAAACCAGAGGTTAGGGAGGAATATATCTGACCCCCAAGGGATGCACTTCTGTGCCTCTTGGCTCTCCCTCGCCCAGTTGCATCAGTAAAAAGCCACAGAAGGCCCAGAGGAAGGCCTGACCAAGGCCACCCTGTAGGCTGCTGAGGATGGCAGAGGTGGTAGCTGATAAAGAGTGGCATCTGGGGCTGAGTGTGGCGGCGCATCCCTGTAATCTCAGCACTCTAGGAGGCCGAGGCAGGGGGATGGTTTGAGGCCAGGAGTTGGAGGTTGCTGTGAGCTATGATCACACCACTGCACTCCAGCCTGGGAAACAGAGCAAGACCCTGTCTCAAAAGAAGAAGAAGAAGAAAAGAAGAAGAAGAAGAAGAAGAAGGAGGAGGAGGAGGGGGGGAGGGGGAGGGGGAGGAGGAGGAGAAATCTGCAATGAATGATAGAGGAAGAAGATGAGAAGGAGTTGCAGTGGCTGAAGCTGTGATTCGTCTCGCTGGCCTTCCTCTTCCGAGTTTCCCCAGAAATAGAGGCCCACAGGAGCCCCTTCCAGAACACTTATAAAGAAGTGCATTCTGGGCCAGGCACGGTGGCTTACACCTGTAATCCTGGCATTCTGGGAGGCTGAAACAGGGGGATCACTTGAGGCCAGGAGTTCTAGACCAGCCTGATCAAGAGTGAGACCTATCTCTACAAAAATAGAAAAATTAGCCAGGCACAGTGGCCCATGCCTGTAGGCCCAGCTTCGCGGGAGGCTGATCACCTGAGCACAGGAGTTGGAGGCTGCAGTGAGCCGTGCTCCTCTGTAACTGTTTCTTCCTCTGTCTATTCCTGCTTCCCCCCTCTTCCTTCCACAGGACCCAGCCCAGGAAACTGCCTAATCAATGTCCTGCACCTAAATTTCCTCTTGGAGCCTGCTTCCTAGGAAAGCCCTCCTGGGCCACCCCCAGCTCTCCTGAAGACAAGTGCTCTGCTTTGCTTACTTCTAGGTCTCCAACACCTAGAACAACGCCTGGGCCATCAGAGGAGCATAATAATTACTGGATGAATAAATGAATAAACTCAGGTGGCTCATCCCAGCAAACCGACCTCACCTGCACACTCTCTGTTCCAGGTCTTGCACCCCAGGAATCAGACCTCTGGATTCACTCTCTTGGGGTCCTCCCTCCACCCCTGCCTTTGGTATTGAGGCTCCAGCAGACACAGCCCAACCTCTGAGCAGGACTGGGAAAGTCTCATTAGAGGAGCAGCCTGGCCCAGGGTAGGCAGCAATAGACAACCCTGGTTCTCGTGGACAAGGGAAGGAGGGGCTGAAATTGCCGGCCCCCTGCAGGGACCAGAGGCCCCACTCACTGTGTCTTGCTGAACAGAGACCCAAGGCCTTGGGCTGAAAATCCCGGTGGGGAAATGGCATTGGAGCAGAGGAGAGGGCTGTGAGAATCAGTGTGACAGCTCCGCTGTGCACTGCTCACAGCACCCACCTCGGCAGGCGGGGGCGGAAGGGCCTGCAGGTGCTTAGCAGCAGGCCACGCCCGGCTGCAGCTGGGAGAAGTGCAGGCCTGAGAGACTCCTCAGGGAAAGGCATCTGGCCGAACGAGACTGCCCAGGTGGGGGAGGGGGAGCTGCCACCTGTCCGGCCAGACAGGCTGAGGCGAAGAGGGGGACTGTCCCAGGGTGGGGGGATGCACCACGAGTTCTCTCTGTGCCCCATGGAGACGTCAGCAAAGTGCACATCACTCACGGATAGTCTCGCAAAGCGCTTTCTGCGTCCTATGAATTGGCCACAGCCACCAGCGCGTTGTTTTGGTGGAGGTGTATGGCTTCCCGGGGGCTGTTCCTTCAGAGAAATGGGGCGTTTTAGAGGCGCAGAGGTGGGGCGTCCGTGCCCAGCCCAGCCCCTCCGCAGCAAGGGCCCCTGCGGCTCCAGGGGGCTGTGCCTTCAGAACAATTGGAGGATTGTGACAGGGCCTGGGCTTCCCTCTGCCACCCTGTCGCCTGCCCACCAGGCCTGGACCTCGCTCAGCAGCTGCCCGTCCTCAGCGCACGTACGCAGAAGATGTGCCAGGACAGAAGGTTCGGGCGGGTCGTAATCTAGCATGTTGTCTGTAAACTGGTCATTGACCAGGCCTGCCCCAGGGCACCTCCTGCCACGGAAGGGCAGCCTGCTCAGTAGGGTGGGGGCGGCGGCTGCCCGGGGACTGGCGAGGCAGAGCCAGGGTGGGACTTGGAGGAAGGCCGGGTCTGCGGCGGCGTGGAGCGCTAGTGGCGGAGGTAAATGCACACGATTGTGGAGACTCCAGGAATGCCCAGTGCTGCCCCGGTCTCTGGTCCCTATGCGGGGCCACACCTGTGCATCTCGTTCCTGAGGCCCTGTGGGTTCTGCGATTGGTCTACTGCTGACTTCACCAGCCCCTGTGGCCTTGGGTTTGGGCTTCTGTGCTGTGCACACTAGTTCCACTCGTCTACCTTTTTTCAGATTCTAAAACTTTGCTTTTTCTGGGCCAGGGAAAATGTCTGTTCATTCTTTGGCTTTCTGGTTTTAGGTCTTCCCTTAGTTCATTTGGCTTTTAGGTGGCAGCTCAAAGCATTGGTATTGAGTTGTCCTGGTGTTGATGAGCCTAAAGGGGGGTTCAATATTGCTCACTGCACAGAAAGCCAATGACTGAGACAAGGACTGTCCAGGAAGAAAAGGTTTATTACAGTGGACGCGTCAACTGGGAGTGGAAGGCATGGTCTGCCTCAAAATCCACCTCCCCGACCAACGACCAACAGGGCCGGGTTTTCTGGAGGTGAAATGAATAATGTATGAGGGGAGTGAGCCTCACTGCGTGTTTGGGTACCGTGCAGGGCACGCAAGCGCCGTGAGAAATCATGCTGATACACGTGTATCCCATGATCAAAAATGGTGGGTAAGTCATTCCCAGGGTGGGGACTTTAGTATTATAATGAGCGAGGGGTTAATACGGGTCATTCTTTCTGCCTTGTGCACAGGCTCAGTGGGTATTTGGGCACGATCCATGGTGGACTGTCACTTGTCTTCTCCAGACAAACAGGTGACGTGAGACTTTGTAGTTCCTTGCGGCTGCATGGAGGTGCTGCCATTTCTGGGGGAAAAACCTCAGAATGTATCAGTGCAACGGAAAGGTACAAAGTTCTGGTCAGCAGATCACACTGAGAGCTCTCCACCTGTTTTCTGCCTACTGTGAGACTGCGGCTGCTAAGCCACCAGGGCTGAGATAAAAGTCACTGTCAAGGTCACTTAGAGCAGCCCGCCCCAGCCACACTGTGAACTCATTTGAAATATGAAGGAACTAGAAACACTATCGAGAAAACATTTTCTTGCTTATGGGGCCGGTTACACTGGCATAATCGAAACTCTGTAATGTGCCCTGCTCTTCCAGTTCCTGCAGGTGACCCCACTTTTATAAGACATTGCTATATGTTCCACTTGGTAAGATTTTACTCAGGACTTTATACATGAAATTCCACTGTAATTTTCCTTTCTCCTGTCTTTTTCTGACTTTTTGTGTCAACATTTTACTGACCCCCACAAGAGGATTGTTATATCTTGTTGATTTTTTTTTGGAAACTTGTTTTCTCATCTCTGAATCACACCAAAGCCTGGTGAGCGTGGGCAGGGACGCACCCACCTCGTGGGAGCTGGGGGAGATCTAGCACGTGGAAAGTTGCGGTCAACTGTTTTAGAAGCCCTGCCTGCCAGAGAAGGCAAAGGAAACCTCAGGCCAGCGCTCTCTTACCACTGGGACTGCGGTAAGAGATGGGCTGTCTGGAGGTGTTTGGAGGTGACGATGATGATTTTGGGGAAAAGTCAATCAGTTAAGTTTGGAATGATTTATACTCTCTGAGGCCCACAGAGCGACAGAGATGAAACCCCGAAAAGTCTCGTCTTGGCCAGGTGGCACCAGGGCCGGTATGCCAAGCGACACAGGCAGAGAAAGGGTGGGAGACCATGGAGAAGTCACAGGGTGGAAGGCAGGGGGCAGGGTGGGGGACAACCTCGGGTCTCACTCCCGAGTCGCCGCCGTGCAGGGTGGTTGAGCCGGGGCTCGGCCCGGCCCGACGGAGTGAGGCTGTGGAATGCCCTCAGGAGTCTCGCTTGCCTTGGGCCAGGCGGCGATGAGCAGACAAGGCCCCCTCAGCCTCTGGGACCTGGCGGCGCAGAGCCTGCTGAGCGACGAGGACTCTGCCCTGCGGGCCCTGGGAGAGCTCCCCGCCGGCCTCTTCCCCGCGCTGTCCGCTGCTGCTTTCGCCGGGGGCCACGCGAGGACCGTGACAGCCATGGTGCAGGCCTGGCCCTTCCCCTGCCTGCGCCTGGGGTCGCTGAGGGATCAGTCGATAACTCAAGGCCTGCTGGAAGCAGTGCTGGATGGGCTGCAGGGCGCCCCCCCGCCCACTGCCGGCCCCAGGTAACTCGGGCTGGGCAGCTGTGGGTGGGGGGTGCATGGCACGTTGAGAATGGGGGCTGGATCCAGGGATGTGAGTCCAAAGGGCGTGCTGGAAACCGCTGGTGGCACAACCTCAGTCACTGGGAGGCCTTGAGGCCATTCTCAGAGCCACACAGAGAAGGAAGAACCCCGTGTAGTTCAGAGCCGATTTGCTGCTGAGGCAGGTGGTGAAGAGGGTGGTTTAGCCGGTGGCTCACGCCTGTGATCCTAGCACTCTGGGAGGATCGCTTGAGCTCAGGAGTCCGAGACCAGCCTGAACAAGAGCGAGACCATCTCTAAAAAAAAAAAAGGAGGGTGGTTTAAATACCTGGGTGGCACCCCAAGACTGTGCAAGGATGGGGAGGAGGATGCAGGGGTGCCGCGTAGAAGGAACGGCAGATGGGCAGGGCAGGGCTGGCACGGAGACCCCTCCCCAGTATCTGCTGCTGCTGGTCTCACACCAGCACTGGCTTGAAAATCCCATCTCTGATCTGCCCCTCGTTCCCCACAGGAGATCGAAGCTCAGGGTCCTGGACTTCACCCACGACTTTGAGCACGCCAACTGGGAGGAGTGCTCCGAGACCTTGCCGGCCCCGTTTGTCATCACACACATGCTGGAAGAGCCGGAGGCAGACCAGCCGACCCCCAGTGCCAGAGAGCAGCCCCCGTGGGACCGAGAACCCGTGGAAATACACACAGACCTTTTCTTGGGCGGTCTGTTCGGGTTCTTCCACCTGGCTGGGTTCCCCTCGTACATACTGCAGAGGGTGGAGAGGAGCCGCGGCTGCCTGCGCCTCCGCTGCCGCGCGCTGGTCATCAGCCAAGTGCCGCTCCGCAGCCTCGTGGAGATCCTGGGCATGCTGGAGCTGGAGGCCATCCGGGAGGTGCGGCTGCACCACCCCAGCAGGTTCTGCTTCCTGGCCGACCTGGTCCAGCTCTTCACCCAGGTCGGGCAGATGTGCAACCTGGGCAACCTCATCATGAGCGACATCCCCTGGGACTTCCCCGCCGACTGCTTCTCCCTGCTGAGTCCCCTGGGCCACCTCCAAAAGCTCCACCTCATCTTCGGCTGTCTCTCTGGCCAGCTGCATAAGATGCTCAGGTGAGTGCGTGGAACGTTCCCGAAGACACAAAGGCCAGGACCCCTCAGGCTCCTCTGAGGTCACAGCAGGGCTGAGACAAGCCTGCACTTCCCTTCCCTGGGTTCCTACAGAGTCACTGATGGACACAGACTCCAAGGCTGGGGTCCTGGGCCGGCCAGTGGCTGCTGACTATTATAGGAGAAAGAGCTACGTGGCCACGAGGAAGCTGAGACTGGGAGAGGCCGGTGTGGCTGACACCATGCTCTGAATATGGGAGCAGTCCCATTGGCATCTCATCCACTCGTTCATTCATTCAGGCACTTAGTCCGCAAAAAGCATAGAGCTCAGAATGGGAGGTCAAACTCTGAAAAAAATCAGACAGGGTCTCAGCCTCCTGGAGCTTCCAGAGAAGGGTGACTAGGTGTGGTAAGTCATCTCCACGACATCTAAGCCCAATTGGCTTGGCCAACTCCTTCCCCTCTTCTGTGTCTCATCTCCCAGACTCTGTGGCATACCCTGGCACAGGGAGCTGCCCTCCTGGGTTCAGTATAAACCTGGCCCTTACCACGTGTGGGGCTGTATCTAAATTTCATTAATCCCTACAACAACTCATGGAGCATGAGCAAGGGTTGTGCTCACGCATGAGTGAGCCGGTATGCCTGACGCGATTCTCTGAAATAGGGAGCAGTCGTCCTGCTGGGACTGGGAAGATATTTGACTCCAAGCTCTTGGTCAACTATTTTTGGCCAATAGAGAAGACTGACTGTCACCCTTTACATCTAGACTGAGGTGGGGGCAGTGCAAATTTTCCAGGCAGATTTCTGGCCTTTCCCGAACGTATCTAGTGTTTTACCCCAACTTCCAAGGACTAACTGGCTCTCTCTCCACAGTGGTCTGCAGAAGCCACTGGAGACCCTGGTGATCAATGGATGTCGGCTCACTGAGAATGATATCGCCTACCTGTCCCAGAGCATCCACGCCACCCGCCTGAAGGAGTTGGTCCTGTGTAGCAATAACCTGTCCCAAACGGTCCCCGGGCCCCTAGAGGTTCTGCTGGGTGAGGTCTCAGGCACCCTGCAGCACCTGAACTTGAGAAGCTGCCGGCTGAAGGAAGCCCAGCTCAGGGCCCTCCTGCCTGCCCTGTGCTGCTGCGCCCGCCTCCGCTCCCTCGTCTTCTACGACAACGTCATCTCCACCTCGGGCATCATGAACGTGCTTCGGCACTTAGCAGGGCTGAAGGAGCTGAAGCGCGTGCAGTACCCCGTCCCCGCCGAGTGCGTTGTGTACCTGGATGAGTACAGGTGGGAGAACCTCAACAGAGGGGAGCTCGCCCGCGTGCACACCAAGCTGCAAGAGCTGCTGCAGACGCTGCAGCGTGCCGACGTGGAGCTGACCACATCCACCTCGCTGGCCTAGCGCGTGGGGACGCACAGCTGACCCCTGGGGAGGGCCAGCAGTGGGTCTCGGAGCTGTGTCCATGGAGCGGATGGTGTGGCCTAAAGGAAACTACCGAAGCGAGAAACACCATGGCGAGCACCCTAGTGGTTAGCGCTGTTTCCGCATATTGCTGGGACCGACTGTTCACGAAGTCAGCAGGAGGTGGTTGAGAATCTACACTGTGCAGCTGGTGTTCTAATGCCGGGTATTAAAAGACAAGCTCTCCCAGCCATTGTCTGTCTGGTCTGTCGCACAATTTCCCTTGCATTTTGCTTCCATATTCCCCCCTTGAACAACAAATTCAGTGAGTTTTTTCTCGAAACACTCAATCGTGAGATGGGACCCCTGACACGTTGGTCGAGGGACTAGCTGAGCATGAGATGTGTTCCACAGCTGTGTGCTGACTTCCTGTTCTGCTCTCTTGCTGGGCAATACAGAGATAGACAAAATGTTCAGTTTCTGCGTTCAAGGAACTTAACTTGGTAGGGCACGGAACACTAAACAGGTCAGCAAACCAACAAGAAGGACGATTTCAGAGAAGGGCCATGAAAACAACAGGACACTCACATCGGGGGTTGCTGGGTTGTGGGGTGGGGTCCACCCTACCTGGGGGTGAGGGGCAGGGAAAAAGGCTTCCCAGTGAGAAGCAGTCAGGGAGTTGGAGGATGGGAGATGTGTCAAGCCTTTCCATGAGGAAAATGGAGAGTCACGGGACCCCTGACCCTCTCTGCGTGAAGCCACCTGGAGAAAAAGTGACTGGGGTGGAACAAAGGCGATTGCGCAGAGGTTGATAATTAAGTGGAACTGTTTCACCGATTTTTCCTTCGTAAGTACTGATACCAAATGCACTTGTCCTCCTGACTCTGCCCCATCCTGCACTGCTTCTTGAGAACTTCCCTTGCTGTCCTGCCTCCTGGTTCTTTCTAATAATGTGTGGGTACTTTACTGTTTTCCATATCATCTGCAATAACAGCGATTTCTAATCCTGTGTCTCTAATGAAATTTCTATTGCTAGCGCCCTGGCTGGGACCCAGTGCAGTAACAACTAGAACAAGTGGGGGTGGGTGTCCCTGTCTCCTCTCTGCCTTTGTCACATGTGCCCCCAACACGTCCCCATTTCGAATGACGTGTCCTCGGTCAGGATGAAGCTCAGTCTCCTATAAAACTATCTTGCTTCCTGCATGGGCATTTCCTGATAACTTTCTTCATTTCTTCTATGGAAATTAATAACTTTTAAAATGGTGATTATATATAAACATAAAATGAGTCATTTAAGTCATTTTTAAGTGTACAATTCCATGTCATCCATTACTTTCAAAATGTTCTGCAATCATTACTACTATTTCCAAAACATCTTTATCACCCCAAACAGAAACTCTGCACCCTTCTCCCTACCCCCCAATGACCTCTAACCTCCTTTCTGTATCTATGAATTTGCTTATTCTACAGGGTGTCCCAAAAGTCTCCATATCAAGGAAAAATTTTGTAATGAATATTTTGTAAATAAAAGTACATTTGGCTACAATTTCTCATTTTCCCTATGTAGGACGACTTTTGGGACACCCTGCAGATATTCCATATAAGGGAAATCATACAATATGGGGTTGTTATGGGTTGAATTGTGTCCTCCAAAGCAAATATATTGAAGTCCTAACCCCCAGGGCCTCAGAATGTGACCTTCTTTGGAAATAGGAACTTCAGAAAAGTAATCGAGTTAAAATGAGGTCATGGTGATAGGCCCTGATCCATTATAACTGGTGTCGTTATAAAAGGGGGAAATTTGGACACAGACAGACACTCACAGAGGGAAGTCAGTGTGAAGAGACAGGAACACCTGAGGCCATCAGAAGCCAGGAGGAACACATCCCTTCCTAGTGTTTTCAGAGAGCTTTTCTCTGCTGACACCCTGATTTCAGATTTTGGGACACTTAAACTGAGATAATAAATTTGTACTTTTCTAAGCCAACCAGTGAGTGGCGCTTTTTGATGGCAGCCCTAGGAAATGAACACAGCCGTCTTTCATGACTGCTTTCTTGCACTTAGCTTCATGTTTTCAACACCCATACATGTTGTACGTAGTATGTGTCACAACTTCATTCCTTTTTACTTATGTTTATACCATATATTTTTATCCATTCATCATCTGTTGATAGACTGTCTCCACCTTTCGGCTGTGGTGAACATCAGCATACAAGTCCCTGTTTTCAATTCTCTGGACATACCTAGGAGTGGAATTGCTGGGTCATATGGTAACTTCATATATTAATATAACTTTTTAAGAAACCACCGATCTCTTTATGACAGCACCTGCACCAATTTACAACCCCACCAGCAATGTACAAGTATTACAATTTCTCCACATCCTCCCCAACACTTGTTGTTTCCATTTTGTTTCTAATATAGCCATCCTAGTAGGCGTGAAGCAGTATCTCATGTGGTTTTGATTTACATTTTCCTAATGACTGATGATGTTGAGCATCTTTTTGTGTATTTATTTACCATTTGTATATCTTCTTTGGAGAAATATCTATTCAGGTCTTTTGCCCATATTATAATTGGGTGGTTTTTTTTGTTGTTGTTGAGTTATAGGATTTCTGTATATTGTCTGAATATTAAACTCTGATCAGATTTATAATTTGCAAATATTTTTCCTATTCTGTAGGTTGTCATTCCACATTCTTGATAGTGTCTGCTGATGCATAAACATTTTCAATTTTGATGAAGTCAAACTTTTTTTTCTTGTGTTGCTTGCATTTTTGGTATCATGTTTGAAAAGCCATTGCAAAATTCAAAGTCATGAAGATTTGTCCCTTTATTTTCTTCTAAAAGTTTTATACTTTTTAACTCTTTTTTTTTTTTTTTAATTTTTTTTTTTTTGAGACAGAGTCTCGCGCTTTGTTGCCCAGGCTAGAGCGAGTGCCATGGCATCAGCCTAGCTCACAGCAACCTCAAACTCTTAGGCTCAAGCGATCCTCCTGCCTCAGCCTCCCGAGTAGCTGGGACTACAGGCATGTGCCACCATGCCCGGCTAATTTTTTCTATATATATTAGTTGGCCAATTAATTTCTTTCTATTTATCATAGAGACGGGGTCTCGCTCTTGCTCAGGCTGGTTTCGAACTCCTGACCTTGAGCAATCCGCCCACCTCGGCCTCCCAGAGAGCTAGGATTACAGGCGTGAGCCACCGCGCCCGGCCTTTTTAACTCTTATATTTAAGCTTCAATCTATTCTGGGTTATTTTTTATATGTGGAATAAAGTAAGAGTCTAACTTCTTTTTTTTTTTTTTTTTTTTTGTATGTGGATGGTCCTTGTTTTCCCAACACAGTTTGTTGAAAAGACTGTTCTTTCCCCAATTAAAGGGGCTTGGCACCCTTTTTGAAAGCCAGGTGACCATAGATGTGAGTTTATTTCTGGGCTCTGTATTCTTTTACATTGGTCTATATATCTGTCTTAACCAGTACTGCACTGTTTTGACCACCATATCCTTGCAGTGAATTTTGAGAAGTGTGAGTCCTCCAACTTTGTTATTCTTCTTAAAGATTGTTTAGGCTATTGAGGATCTCTTGAAATTCCATATGAATTTTAGGATGGATTTCTCCATCTTTTGCCTAATACCATTTGGATTTTGATAGAGACTGCATTGAATCTATAACTGACTTTGGGTAGTGTATTAATTTAATTAATTTCCTAGGGCTGCCCTAGAGAAGTACCACAAACTTTGGGGCTTGAAACAACAGAGATTTGTTCTCACAGTTCTGTTGGCAGGGCCATGTGCCCTCCAAAATTTCTAGTATATACACTTTTGTCACTGGCCTGAAAAAAAAAAAAAATTTCTAGTATAGAACCCTTTCTTGCCTATAATACCTTTTGAATAAGCACAGACATTCCTTGGTTGGTGGCAGCATAACTCCAACTTTTGCCTCCATATTCACATGCCTGTCATCCCTCTGTATTTGGGTCCAAATTTGTGTCCTCTTATAAGAAGACCAATCATATTGGATTAAGGGCCACCCTAATCGAGTTTGACCTCATCTTAACCTGATTATATTTGCAAAGACTATATTTCCAAATAATGGCACCTTTACCATTACAGGGAATTAGGATGTGAGCATATCTTTTGGGGGGATATAATTCAACCCCTAACAGGTTGAACAATATTAACAATATTAAGTTTTCCTATCCATGGACATGGGATATCTTTCTATTTGCTTAGGTCTTCTTCCTTTTCTTTATGTTTTATGGTTTTCAGTGTACAGGTTTTCACCTCGATGATCAAATTTATCCCTAAGTATTTTATTCTTTCTGATGCAATTGTAAATGGATATGTTTTTTAATATTCTTTTTGGATGATTCTTTTTTTTAGTTTTTTCCCCCCAAAGTCCAGTGCTGAACAGATGGATGGTTCTTTGCTAGTGTATAGAAATACAACTGATTTTTGCATATTAATTTTGTATCCTGCTATTTTGCTGAATTCACTTGTAGTTCTGTCAGTTTCTGTGGATTATTTAGAGGTTTTTACATATAAGATCATAGCATCTGTGAACAGAAATAATTGTACTTCTTCCTTTCTGATTTGGATGCCTTCTTTAACTTGTCTATTTGCTCTGGCTAGAATTTCCAGTACTATGTTGAATAGAAATGGTGAAAACAGGCATCCTTGTCTTGTTCTTGATCTTAGGGGGGAAGCTCAATCTTCTATCATTACACACAACATTACCAGTAGATTTTTCTTATAGGTCTTTATTATGTTGAATAAGTTTGTTCCTATTCCTAGGTTATTTTTAAGCATGAAAGGGTGTTAGATTTAGTCATATGCTTTTTCTGCATCAATTAAGATGATCATGTGGATGTTTTAATCCACATTCTGTTACTGTGGTGTATTAACATTAATTTTTGTATGTTTAACTATCCTTGTATTCTGTGGATAAATTCCACTTTGTCATGATATATAATCATTTTAAGATGCTATTGAATTTTGTTTGCTAGTTATTCTTTGGGGATTTTAGTACCAATATTCTTGACTTTGTACATTGTCCTGTACAATGTACATTGGCCTATAATTTCCTTTCCTTGTAGTATCTTTGTCTTCTTTAGGTATCAGAGTAATGCCAACCTCATAGAATGAATTAGGAAGTGTTTCTTCCTTTTCAATTTTTTCTAAGAGTTTGAGAAAGATTTGTGTTAATGCTTCTTTAAATGTTCGATATAATTTACATGGATTGTCTTTCTTTGTTGAAAGCTTTCTTTCT